ATTTTCCTCATGCTAATGCTATGGCTCATGCTAATGTTATGGGTACTGCTATTCACTTAGGCCAGAGTAGATTTTAAAAAGAATGTCTGATTGTCTAAGAAATAACTTTAAATCATTTTAAAACGCTGCACAATGATTTTGAAATCATTGAAACCCTATATTGATATTAAATATAGGGTTTCAGTTACAGGCAGTACTAGCTGTTGGCCCGTTCAGGCCAATAACATTTTTATTCACCACTCAAGTGTAGCATTAAAGCACACTGTCTGAAACCACTCCTCGCTAATGAGTATTTTGGGGTTTTGTTTTTTTGTTTTTTTATTGGCAGTATTTTCATATTATTTCATTAATTATTTCATATTAAAAGGTCAAAACTTCATCAAACCACATGTTCAGATTGTTTAAATGCTAAAGAGAACAATATGTTTTTATCTGTTTCCAGTCAGAATAAAAGCAACATAAAAATCAAAGCTGTTTTTATGCAGACAAACGTCTTAGTTAGCTTGAAATAACATTAAAATTGTCAGATTTCAAATAAACGATGTCTCAACATAAAAGAGAAAAGATTAAGGGAACGCTAACTCATAAAAATGAGTTTGTAATAGTCTTCTAAAGAAATGACACAATCAGCTGACCTGATTGGTGGAGGGAGGCTGTTTCACAGTTTGGCCGCCCGCCACTACCTCAAAAGCACTGGTTTTAATCTTTGGTTTTAAAATCTGAGCGAGAGACAGTTAGGAGACCTCTGTTAGAAGATTGGAGAGGTCAGCTGCAGTGATAAGGTCTTAGAAGCTATGTTATATAGGAAGTCCATGTGTTGAACTGTGTCATCCTCTCCTCTTTATGAGATCAATTCCAAAAAAAATTGAAAAGTTTTAGTCTGATCACAGGAAAGCATTAAATTCCTCAATACTCCAACGTATTAGATGCATCTGTCTCTTTATTTCCAGAGAACCAGAACTAAATGGCAGCATCCAGTTTGTCCTAAACAAAACATACAGTAAAAGTATGAGGCTGCAGACAGTCCACCGTGGGCAGGGCTGTTCCTGTTTCATGTATCTGTCTGTCAACACATGTCGTCGTCTGTCTGCAGGTGCTGTGTGGTCAAAGCAGGGCGGTCCTGTCTCGTGCTGCTGGCTGTCGAGCTTTAGCTTCTCTCAGGGCTGGAACAACCAGAACCTTCTCTGCTGCGAGCTCAGATGAGCCTTACATAGCGGTATCACATACAGACTCAGGTGAGTCGAACAGGAAAGGACGTCAGGCAGTGTTGCAATGCAGTTTTCAGTAGTAAACTGTTTAGCACCTGTGGCAGCAAACGCTGACAAATCATCTTTGTCACATCACTCCAGGCCCAAGGACTGTGTGGCCTGATGAGAACATGGGACCATTTGGACCTCAGGACCAGCGCTTCCAGTTGCCTGGTAACGCTGGGTTTGACTGCCACCTGGAGGGCATGGAGGACCAAAAGAAGGCTCCGGTTCACAAGACGGTGCCTGATGTGCTGACGGTTCCAAGCAGCACAGAGAGACACCAGTTCATACTGGCCCAGTTTGTCAACGAGTTCCATGTAAGATTTTTGAATAGTTACATTATGAGCTGTAACACAGTCAGAGCTTTTAGGACTACAGTTCAGAGCAGCAGAGAGAACAAATTAAAGTCAATGTCTTTGATTTATTTTAAATGTAAGTGAGCTGCTGTGGCTCATTGGTTTCAGGAGAAACACAGATGTCAGTAACACTTCATTGTAAGATTCCAAGTATGACAATTAACAATAAATAAATAAAAATTGAAAAAATAAGCCAGAGCTACATTTTTACCACTTTTGTCTAAGAGGGTGTGTGATTGTTTGTTTTTCAGGGAAAGCTCGGGCCTATTTCCACGAGAGTAAGCAAAGCTGAGCAGTACTTTAATCAGACAGAAACAGACTGTGCCATAAACTCCTGCCCAGAGCTGCTGAGGAAAGGTAAGAGAGATTCATCCAGCATTACCTTCGCTGACTGTGAGTGTGGGCAACACAAGCCAAAATGGTATCTGGATATTTAAGAATTTACGATAACAATATTTCTGATGATATAGAAGGAAAAAATACTGAATATTGTGGTCATAAATATTTTGTACTTGTAAATCAGACTGTGTAGTTGTGAACTGAGTTTTGTAACCTTGCAAACCAAAATATCTAAAAGATTGATGTTTGTGCATCTATAGATGAGAATTTGCGTCTGTGTATTTAAAAAAAAAAAAGATTATACACATACAAGGGAAAAAACTACTAACTTACATTTTTCTGATTTTTTTCGTTTCCAAGGTTACAAAACTCAGTTCACAACTACAACAAACAGAATGGTTTGAGGTAGA